GGTCTCCACACCGAGAAATCCAAGGAAACTCCACCATTAAAGAAATACCTGTAAGAGACCTGTAACCTATATAGCTAGCATGTAACCTATCATAGATAGCACACACAACACTTATATATAGCACACATATCCTATGAAACGAGGCTTACTGCCTATATCCAACCAATAGAAGAAAAAAGGGACAGAAAACTGAATACCAAATAGCATGGACAGCTAGCGCTGACAGCTGTTCTGGCCATAAGGTCGATGACCTACATAAAAGACAGAGCACAACCAATACAGCTGTCCTACTCTAATTGGCCAAAAAGGTTGTTGACCTACATACAAAACAACACCAGAACAACAACAAAAAAACAGAACAAGATAACTCCTTTTCCACATTCCTATAAAACAAAAGAGTTCAAACTTACACCACAAAATCTATATTACAATACCTTTACACCATACAAAAATCTAGACTCATGCCACATCGGTACTTGAACTACAAACAAACAAAGAAACAAACAAAAAGATCTATTACGGGGACATAACGACCTCCACGACTCTCATCTTTAAACTCAATCCTGGAGACCACCACAGTAATATGCCTGTCAAATTTCATTAACTTCCATCCACACATACAAAAGTTATCCTGCTCACAAGAAAAATTAACAAAATGCTCCCTGTAGTCACAACGAAACCCCCCACGAAGCTCAGTAACGAACTTAACCTTGGTCCCGATAATAGTAACCACCACACCAAGAATCATAATCAACATTTTATAATTAAAGTTATTTTGCTAACAAGCCACAAACACAAAATGTGCACCTACGTGACGCAAGGACCCCCCACGAAGCCGAAAATTGTACTTGACCTCGGCCTCAACAAAGGTAATCTGCCTGCCAAAAATCATGGACGTCGAATCATGCCTTCCAGAGTTATATCGCAAAATCCGCAGTTCCCCACACTCCGGCGAGACAATTTCATAGTCCTTCTGACGAAGACAATTACAGCGGAGCTAACTAATGTGTGTTCACTAATGCTTCGGCCCCAATTGAAAAAAGGGGCCCTGTCGGGTAGTTCCAGGGCTAGCGCTGTTTTTGGCACTTTCGGGCGTGGCCCCTACGTGGCCCCTCGGGACACCCTGCGGCTACCGGGCTATTTAGGGGCCCGTCCGGGACTCGAGAAGAATTTAATTCTGACTTAAATTCTACCCGGGCCCCGCTGACAAAAAGACGCCATGACCTCACCGTGAGAAGACCGACAGGTACCCCTCCGGTTGCCGGCAGTCCACCGGGACATTTGTTACGTCACAGACCAGATGAACAGAATAAAGGTGTGAATTCTGCATTACGTATAGGTCAGTACATCGTCAGAGAAGCTGCCGGGTACCTGCCGGAGACCGACCAAAGAGGGTGACAACATAAAAAAAATGCTACTGAAGGAAACCTTTAATGGTGACCACGACAGCCGATGCCCGCCCGACTCCTGAGCTCGACCGGGGCGGGCCGGGGCTACATCACCGACGGGCAACGGCGCAATTGGGACCGAAGCTTAAGCTGGGATCCGGGTCTAGACTGATGTCAAACTAGCGGGCTTACTCCTAATCGCTCTCATCAGCCACTACTATTGGCTAACGTTAATGAACATGTAAATGTTGTAAACTGTCTACTCCTCGATACGTCATAGGATCAAATACGTCACAGATCATGTCTGTTACAGGTGCGAAAACTCTCAACAAGAAGTTCTACCAGCCCGTGGTGACCCTACAGCAGTCCTACACCGTCCACTGGGACACACGTGCTCCAGAAGTGGTCACCATTTATCTCTTCAACTTCGACGGGTAACGCTTTCACCTTATTTTTGGCGACACCTCAGGGGTGGAGGGATTTATAATTGTGTCCTTTTCTTATAAGCTGGCTTCCGAAGTGACTTGGTGTTTTAAAGTATTTGTACGCCAGAGGTCACAGCTAAAATTTGTATCCAACTCAAAATATCGTTAATATTGATATTTTAATGTGCATTGAATTTTGGACTGTCCTAAAAACAAGTAACCAATCACGTGGGTCACATGATCTGGCGGACCTTTGACGTCAGTTGGTCAATTGGTAAAAATGTTAGGAAGTTTATATCGCCCACCGTCTCTGCTTGAGTGATGGTTGGTGTGCCCAAATGTGGATGGTTTTATTTCCACCCAGAAAATAGTACTGTTCACTGTATTTTTGTACGTATTTTGACTTTGACCAATGAGTGTTGTTGTTTCTCACTGTATCTTAGTACGTATTTTGACTTTGACCAACGAGTGTTGTTGTTTCTACATATCTTAGTACGTATTTTGACCTTGACCAACGAGTGTTGTTGTTTCACACTGTATCTTAGTACGTATTTTGACTTTGACCAACGAGTGTTGTTGTTTCTCACTGTATCTTAGTACGTATTTTGACTTTGACCAATGAGTGTTGTTGTTTCTCACTGTATCTTAGTACGTATTTTGACTTTGACCAACGAGTGTTGTTGTTTCACATATCTTAGTACGTATTTTGACTTTGACCAACGAATGTTGTTGTTTCACACTGTATCTTAGTAACGTTACGTATTGTGACTTTGAGCAATGAGTGTTGTTGTTTCTCACCGTATCTTAGTACGTATTTTGACTTTGACCAATGAATGTTGTTATTTCATACAGCGGAGAGTGGGTCCGACTGGGTCTGTGTTACCCTCCTGGCACCACGTTCCAAGTGAAGTACCAGCTTGAAGGACGAGTGAAGAAGAGGGTGACACATGAGGAGGACATGTCACCCGTGTTCACTCTCACTGACGTGGAAGACGGCGGCGGCAAACTCTTCTATTTTGAAGAAAGCACGGGGTAGGCTGAAACTTACGTTTGCAAAGAAATGTGCATGTGGACGACGCTTAATTTCGGACGAAGCTGAAGTTAGCCTAGATGCCAGCTTTTTGTTTAGATTTTTAGTCAACTGTAACAGAATTAGTATGGTCTTTCGGTAGCTCCTTTGCGAAAAAGACTGGAATCGCACATATTCTATCCGTCTGTCATTTAAATACTTGTTCAAATTTGAACAGGCGCGCTGATTGGCCAAACCTTACTGGTTGTATGGGGTCATCCAATCAGCAGAGGCGTTGTGGCAGAGCTCTTGAGGTGTTCCAAACCTCTGATACCTTTTTTTAATTGTTTCAGGCTACTGTTTGTAAAGCTTCGCGCTAACGAGGGCCGTGGCGGGGACGACTACTGTTCGGATGCGGGTTGTGAGCGGGTCGTCATCACGGCCACCATGAAGGGTGACCAGGTCAGCGACTGTCGCACCGCAGCCTACCCTAAATACTCCCTGACTCCGACACAAGCCGTCCCCATGCCGAGCTTCAGCGCTGCCGTCAGAGACTGTGTGGACTGCGGTGCGCAGGTCAGTTTTTAGCGACGCCTCAGGTGCGGAGCGTCTGAAAAATATTCAAAACCTTCGACGAAATTCCAGAGTAAACGAAAACTATAAATCAAGACGTTGTGGGTCTTATATGGTATTTTGTTTCTTGGGTAGAATGTTGGATTGGAAAAATGACAGACAAGGCCAATTATGACCCCCTTTTGGTTTCCTATGGTGCTGCAGCAGAAATTGCACTTTTAGACCTATTATTATGGTCCTGATTTTTCTGGGTCTGAAAAATGTACGATCATTTTTTTGTTAGAGATTTGTTTTGTATTTTTGATCAATCAAAACATGTAATCAACGTGAGTGAATACGTCGAATGAGAACATTCTGTTTGTATATTATGACGGTGTTCTCCTCTTTTGTATTCTTACAGGAGCCAATCGTCTTTGACCCTGCTCTGAGCTTCCTAGAAGTGACTGTGTCGTCTGCTGGTTTAGAAGAGACGCGGCAAGGCCACAAGTCATTTGTTGAGGTACAGTCACAGTCTGTATATACTGCAAAGAAAACTGAAAGTCTTACAAAACCAAATTTGACATTAATGACTTTAAATGGCATTAATTAGAAGATGAACATGCATGATGAAAATATTGATGTTTACGCTCTAATATTCACTGCAGGGGCCCGAAATTGTTTACCTTAATTGTTTTGCTGGCGGGGGTGGGGGTCAAGAGGGTCCTATCATTACCATTAGTCCAATTCAAGTCATTAAGGTGACCAATTGTTTGAGTCACATATCCTCATTACACTAATGACACCAAAGCAGCTATTTCAATATTGGCCCCATGCTTTTTAAAAAGCGTCTTGTGAACATTATTTTCTACAAGGTTTGCAAAGATTTTTCTGAACTGCTAATAATCCTTTTCGTAGATATAATGTACGGTAGAGTTGACAAGCAGGAAAAGAATAGATACTTGAATCAATGTTTGCTATATGCAAAATACGCCGTCTTCAAGAGTGTATCGTTGAATAACAAGCCTTATTTCTGTCATACACTATTCCCCTAATTGCATATACTGCTATGAACATTCTTTGTAACCTGTATGTATGAATTAGGGAGGCTTGCCACAAGGTTTTGTATGTTTTTGAATGCCATATTTCTTTAATAAACAAAAATATGAATTGAATAATTAAAAAAAAATAATTTTCGTTCCAGTTAAATGGCGTCCGTTATAACCACCGCAGCAGAGGGTACATGGTTCTCGGGGTTGACGCGGTGTCCGGTACGGTTACCCACCAGTCCACGTACGACACACACGGGGATACAGCTAGCGACCTGGCCATGGCCAACTTCCTACGCAAGGAGATTCCCCAAAAGTACGATGCTTTTACGTATCAAGGGACATTATCTGTAGGGCAAAGGGATATCTGTGTCTGTAAACTGTATCTGTATAGCCGGTATAAGCACCCTTTGGTGTAACACACCGGCTTCGCAGGCAGCTACCTATATATCACACAACGACCTGACACCCAATCTTTGCACGTCTTACTGCAGGAGTTGTTTAAAGATTTCTAGCGATGATGGTCCAGATGTACTTAGTGTCAACGAGTTTCACTCTGCGATAGTTCTTAGAAAATATGACTTTTTGAACACCTCTATTCTTTCTTGATATTCGCTAAAATCTAAAAGTCTAAAAACTCCAAGTTCGATAATTTTGATATTTTTTAGCCTTGGTATATCATAATTATACGCCATTTTCCGGCCATAGGTATTTTTCGATCGACACCACAGTGTACGAGTATAGGCTAGCCTATCTAGTAGCCATTAAATGATCACACAGTATGGGTATAACTATAATTGTAATAGCCACAGCCCTAAAGGCATTGGCCTTTTAGGCAGCCGATCGTCATGACAGCACGCTGAGCGAAATAAACGTACCCCGTAAAAAGTCCGCGAGCGTGCCGATTGACTTGATCGGGCAGGTAACACCCCCGGTACCGAGGAAATCCTGTGGTGCTCACGGTGGCCTGATACAGGCTAATAGACTACTAGAACTAAAGCTGTTTCTGGTTTCAGTTCCATAGTGGTGGTGGCAGTGCGCGGCCGGGCCAGTAAGTTTGCCCGGGAGTGTCTGGTGGCGCTGAGGGAGTTGGGCGCAACAGGGCCTGTCGCTGTGGAAGACAAAGGTGAAGTGTGCTATCTTTTTTAAACTTATAGAGGCATTATTAAACATTGTTGCAATCCAAATTGTAATATTTTATTTGAAGAAATATTCGTGTCATTGTCATTTACTTCCACTTTTCAGCATATCTGTTCAATTATCTCACATTTCTGACATTTAAAACAGCCCACATGAGGCGTACATAGTTTGTCAAAATGCAAACAAATATGACTGACATGTATTTTCAGTGATGTAACCGTACCTAATTGACGAATATAGCGCCAGCGATCATGAGCTCAGCGAAAATGAAAAAAAAAATAGACAAGTTGGAATGGAACACTAACAGTTTCATCTGTGCCCTATGATTGTCAATTGATGTTAAACCCTTGTCCTGCGGAGCACAACCAATTGTTGTTTGGGACATACAGTACCATCTATATAGCACTCTACATAGGTACGATTTGGGGGTATTTCTCGTGCAACACATCAAACCGCAGCGAAACGCAACGAATGCGAAGGTAACTACGCCACCGCAGGGCAAAAAAAAGTTGGGGGTCTTTGACCTACGATATGAAATTATAGAAAAATATTGTGTGAAAAATGCCAGCAGGTCAAGGGTTAAGCTCTCACCATATGTTCGCATTGACCAAGGTTTTCTTGATTCTTCTGTAGGTAATTTTGCGATGGTTGGCTTCAAGGGTACCGTGTGGCCCAGCTGGATCCAACACGTCAACCTGCCGTCAGGTCAGGGGCCGGCACAGATCTACAACAGGATTCCGCTTATGGGGTAAAAACTACCCTGAACAGAGACATACACCAGGATCCCTCTTATAGCAGTGATAGAAATACGTTTTTTTCAGTGTTCTGCAATGTTGCAAAATGTCACAATTTTGTTCTACAATTCGGAAATACTTTCTGCAAGTACACGGATCTAAACCCATGGCATATGTAAAATTGCATGTTGGCAAACATTTTACATGCAATATTACTAATACATTATAGAGCTCTTAAACACCATTGAACCGCAAAGCTGCAGATGGGTATTTCTAATACTGTATAGGGTTAACCTGGAGGATCCTTGATAGCAGTGCTAATAGTGTAGCCAAAACCATTTTAGCTGCAGAGACTATAGGCAAATAAAAGGTTTGGTAACCAGGTGGTTATTCGTAGTACTCAATAAAACTGGTCGGTCGGTTTCGTGTCCACAGAATACTGTTTTCAAATTGATCTTCCTGTCTCTGTCTTTCTGTCTCTCTGAGAGTTTGTGTTTGCGTGAGTGTTCGTATATGTGTTTCTTGAATCCACACAGTCTAGCATCATCCTATACAAGAAGACATTTTAGAAATAATTCTTCAATTGCCCCTTTATTAAGACAACATTACACGGAAACTCTAGTAAGAGAACACTCAATATCACTTAAGGTCTCATTCATGAGTTTTTTCCATACATTAGAAACCATGCATTAATGAGTGACTTACGAGACCGTGTTCCCTATGATCCTACATTAAATCAATTGATATCTTTCTTGCTATGTTGAGCACACTTACTCTACGTCTCATAAAAAAATTGCCAACGACTTCTAAACACACAATCCCATTTTATGGGAATTACAAACTGCACCTAGCGGCTGCCCGCAAGAGGTCCTCCCGCGCTGCAAACCTACGACCGCACAACTCACAACACTGGACTGTGCACGTCCGACCTAGCTCGCGGCTGCCGACAATTACGTCCTAATTTCATCAGTTACAAACAAGCTTTCACCGCTTTGACGTTTTACATCAGTTGGGATGGCTAAAGGGAAAATTCTCACCAATAAAAACACGCGTTCATACAGCCGTTTAGTTTTTGACTTGGTACTCTTTTAGGGGGTACACTCGGAGTAATACATGAATGAGACCTTAATTACCATTGATTATTAAGATTTTGTCTTAAATGAAAGAAGATACATCCCCTAACAATCTCTGAGAAAGATTTTGTCTCACGTCACTCCGTTACCAAGCAACGCGTCAATAAAGTTGCGTGAAAATTTTGATATGAGCAGCGCCACCTGGCAGTCTGAAATAAAAGTACAACAGATATCTTAATTACCCTTATGACGTGTCGGAAACAGTAATTAATTGTTTTTGTCATTCCGTTGGGTAGATTAATGTGTTCTGTATGAGATTGTTTGCCTGTAAACCTGAATAGACAGCAAGTGATAGATCTGAACGATGCTGATCATTTGGTGTATGCTGGCAAATGATGCGTAGCATCAGTAAGGACATTAATGTGCATGTCGCATCAGGACACGCCCATAAAAGCGAAAACATCGACATTACACAAACAACAGTAAAGCCAAACATATACACTTACTAAAATTTGAACCCGAGGTAAGAAGAAATAAGCGACATGCTGCATCTAGCGCACTCTAAAGGTCAGCCTAGGCGGGAATGGGGAGTGGTTTACAGAGGTGACGCAAGATGCTACTTACAGAATGCAAGGCAACTTCGGTCAAAAGTACCTTTTTCTACTCGTTGAGAAGAATAAAGGCAAAAGAGGCCAAATTGACCATAAAGTATCACTCAGAAAGGAAGGGGAATTCCAGACAGCGTTCTTAGCACAGAGCAAAACAGAAACTTTTCCAATGAAAGTTACAGTAATGCCTTGGCATAATATATCCCTTCTCACCTAAGTAGAAATTAACTAAATCTAGTCTGATTTTGCAGTCTGGAAGTCTGGGGGATACAAATTCACGTCAGCTGTAGCGTGTCAGGTGTTTTTTGTCAGTTTTGGGATGGGGCGGGGTAAGGATCCACCGCCCTGACAGTGGCGGGGGGGGGGGGCGA